TTGCTACCCCCGTGTAACCGACTGTCTATTATGGCCACCTTCAGCTAGGTTTGCCGATTGCAAAGCGAAAACGTACATAACCTCAAAAACCAAAAAACCATAGAAAAGCTTGACAAGGCTGTTCCAGGGCTCCCCACATACATACGAGGATTCCGCCCAGTGCAGTGCACTCCGTCAGGTGCCGGGCCATAACAAAGCCTGCACCGATGCCCTCTTGCCCTGCATCTGTTTAAATACTGCATACAGCAAACATATACTGTCCTTCGAGCTCCTTTCCGGCACCGCAAACAGACCGCCAGATCGCGATATGAGCCAGCGCGCGGCGAGGGCCAAGAAGCAGGGCAATCCAGCGGGAGCTGATTACTTGGATCCAAACGACGTAGTCAGCTCAGATCAATCTGTCAGCCCTGCAGCCGACGGCACGGCAGCGCGGCGCCGCGGCGCCCCAGCAGCAGCAGCAGGGCGTGCCCGGCGCGGTTCGGGGCGCCCCGCCGTGACGGATGCTGACGACGAAGACTATGTCGGCGAAGTGTTTTCGGATGCCGATCTCAGCGAGGACCTGGGGGACCCAGAGGACAACGCGGGGAACGGCGCTGGCAACAGCAGCGGCCCCAACATCAGCCCTGGCGGCAGGTGGCACTGCCCGGAGCCCGGCTGTAGCAAAGTATGTGCGCGCGCGGGACAATTCCCACACGCCGCCTTTCACAGGCGCCGAGCGGAGCAGCATGCGGCCCGCCTGGGCGCTACGGCCGCGGCGGGCGCGGGCGGCGTTGCAGCCGGGGGTGCTGCTGGCGGGGCCGGGGGCCGCAGCGGCGACGGCGGCGACGGCGGCGGGGGCAGCGGCGGCAGCGACGTCGACGTCATCGTTGCGGCCAAGCCGCCCGGCCCAGCCACACGGCCCGCCGGCTGGCCGAATGAGACCATATCTGTTGCCTCTGACATCAGCCTGGACGCGTTCGCAGGCCGCTGCACCCGCCAGCTCGGGCGGCTGGACACCTTCAGCGGCTGCACCTTCGCTCGGTTCGAGGTGTGGAACAAGAACCTGAAAATCTTCGTTCACATCGACACCGACGAGAGGCTGCACGGCGCGCTGGCAGCGTCGACACCGGCGCTCATGTATGCCGTCCTGCCTAACCCCTGCTGCGGAAATGGTGGTCAACCGCTTGCGTGTGAAGCCCATCTCTGTGAGTGCTCGGTGGACGTCAACGCTGCTCCACTCCTCATGCAGCTGCGTGGTCATGCTGCCTGCTAGCTCTGTGAGGTAGGCCGACGGCGCCGCCAGGACGAGCGCGAGCAGCAACGCGCATGCTATTTGGCCGGCCTTGCGTGTCGAGCACCGCACGCCCTGACGACCCTGCTTGTGTGTGGTGCCATCACGAGCGTATTCCTGGCATATGCTGCGCACTGTCCTGACACACGGGTTGCCGCTGAATGTGCTGCTGATCTCCTCGCACGACAGCTGCTCCACAAAGCGCATCTTGACCACGCGCTCACGAAGTTGACGCGAGTACGGCGAGTGGCGCCATGTTGGGCACTGCGGGGGGCTGCTGTGCGTGCTGGCCATGCGGTGATCTGCAAAGCGCCCCACCGCGTATAGAAAGGTTTTTAAATGCGTTTTCAAGCGATATTACATGTTATCCGATGTTTTTCGAGGCTTTTCGAGGCTTTTTGTGGTTTTGGGGGCTATTTTTTCACTGTGCCATCGGCAAACCTAGCTGAAGGTGGCCATAAAAAAAAAATTCGCTGTATCAGGAGGTAAAATGTACTGAAACGCTTTGGGACCTGGAATTCATTCGCTGTACATGGTTTTTCGCTCTAACAGTGTTCGCTATAACCAGGGGTTGACTGTATCGGCCCTGCTCACGCCCCTCGCGCATGTCGCGCGTCGGGCTCCCTCACACATGGCCACAGCTCACCTGTTAATATCTAGGTTGCACGCAGGTGCTCGGCACCTCGCTACCCCCGTGTAACCGACTGTCTATGAAAAAAAAAGGCGGCGCGTGGCTGCGCTGACCGTCAGATCGGTGAGTGGGACGCCGCCGTGGCCCCACAGCGACGGGTCGAGTGCTGC